TTTTTGTATTCTTAAAGAGTGTTTCTTAAACACAAATGTTTCATGTTAAAGAAACAGAGAGACACAAAACATTTTACTTTTTTCCATGTTTCCCTCTTTCATTTACCCTTTTTCTGTCAAACCACTTTGGAAATTTTTCATCTAATACAGGGGGGCTATGTCAGCAGTCAGAATGTCTGGGGATGGAGGATTTTTTTAAAAGGCTCTGGATTGGTTGCAGGATAATCAGATAGTCTTTTTTTTTTTCAAATCATAGATTAAGGTCTTGAATTGGGTTGAATTAAATTACTAGTTTTTCAGTTAGAACAAAATCAGCCTTAGCTAACATATAAGTGAGATGCTGAGTGCTTCAGTCTAAAATCACATGCCAACCTTTGCCTAGAGGTTTCATGACTGAATTGTAGCTTTTTGAGAGGGGAATACAAAAACATGGACAACAAGCTTCCATCTCATTGACCGAAATCCTGTTTGTACAGCTCCAGTTTTTGGAAATAATCCCCCCCGCCTTCACTCCTTTCAGTATGGGGAGTCCATTGGGGGCCATGGGAGAAATATTTACTTTCTGAAAATCGCCACCATCTGGACATCATGAGCCTTATGAAGTGTAGCTGCATGAACAGGATTTCTGCTAACATTTTTAAAAAAACATCAAAGCTAACAAACAAGGAAAAAACATAAAGGATGGAATCCAGAGACAGTCATAATTATAGTACAGCCTTTGAAATCAGCAGAACATTTGTTATTTACTCTTCCTACTGATCTCAATGGACTTGTTCTAAGCATAACTAAGTCTGGATCCAGCTCAGTAGATTTACAAAATACTGATAATGGCTCAGTACAGCAGTCTTCTGTTCCAGTTTTCCCCCCACATTAGACATGCTTTCAGTAGTTTAATGAAATCCCAACTGTTTCAAATGCACAAATGCAACCATTACTGAGATCCAGCTCATTCATAGTCCTATGTCCTAAAGCTTCTTGTCCTAAAGCTTCTTGTCCTTTGAAATGGCTGCAATGGCTTTCTGAACGCCCATGCCAACAGCAGTGGCTTCTGTTTGCTTTTTTCTGGAAATAACACAGCTTCACTTTCAGGAGTAGGAAATCGCTTCTTGTATACTTCTGGATATGATTTCTGAAACTAGAAAAGAAACATAGAGTGGTTCATTAGAAAGTTTATGCTGACTCCTTGAAAAGTGGCTTGTTCATTAACGCAAACACTTCGAGGCTCTAAGGGAAAGAGAAGAATTTATTGTACATATTTGTGATGTAGCAGTTCGGTCCACACATTCACTCTGTCTCTTCTAAAAGCATCACTTCTTTCAGTCTTTCTTGTAGTAAAGAAAAACTGGAGCAAAGCTGATTTGGTTATTTTATTTAAACAAACTTATTCCCCGCCCATTTTGTGGACCAGCCACTACTCTGGGTGGCTTCCAGGAAGTAACAAAAAAATACAATTTAAAAAATGAATATATAAAAATAAAAAAAAACTATTTGGTGAACCATGGGCCAGCATAAAGTCACTACAAAATGAATATTACAAAGGGAAGAGATTTATAGAGGCCTCATTGAAAAGCCAGGTTTTTACTTGCTTTTGGAAGTTCAGAAGGGTGGAGGCTAATCACATATCCACAGGAAGGGAATTCCAGAGTAGGGTAGCGTACATTAAGGGTGTGTGACTACCACCTGGACAGAATTGTATCTGAATATCTGCTATAGAGAATGGGGATCAACCTGCCCTGATCTGATCTGGAGGTGACCTTAACCAATTTATTCTTAGAGTTCTTAACATATTTGTGGGTATATGTATGTTTCCTGATGGGAGAAAAACCATTTTTTTAGAAGTCTACATTTATAGAATCATAGAATCACAGAGTTGGAAGAGACCACAGGGGGCATCGAGTCCAACTCCTGCTATTCAGGAACACCATCAAAGCACTCCCGACAGATAGCCATCCAGCCTCTGCTTAAAAACCTCCAAAGAAGGGAACTCCACCACCCTTCGAGGCAGCATATTCCACTGCCGACCAGCTCTGACTGTCAGGAAGATCTTCCTAAGATTTAGGTGGAATCTCTTTTCCATTGTTCTTTGTCCTAGTGTCAAGCTGTGGAAAACAAACCTGTCCCTTCCTTGACATG